AAAAACATCTATTTGCTACCTCACCAGCTAAAGAAATTGACAATTCATCTCAACAACAGGGCTGTAAATTATTTGTCAGGTCTCAAAGGATAAATGCCTTTTCTAAGCACAGAGGCCCTGCTGAGCTGCCAGACCTCCCAAGTAACCCCAGTTGTCAGGAGGTGGGGCTGAGAGCTCCAGCACTGTCTGGGTAACTTATCCACCTTAGAAGGAATGGGAGGCATCTGCCAGCATGGCAGAGAATGAAAGCCAATGTAGCAGTCCCAGGATAATGTTGCAGGATCCAATCTCTCACTGGGATCAAAGGTTTATTCTTCCAAGCTTTCATCCTCAGGGAACTCAGAAAAGCCACAAACAACCAGGCTCCATATAAATACCCCACGCAGAGAACAGCCGAAAGCTGCGAGAGAGACGTTCCCTCAGGATGGGCTCCAGCAGGAGTCCTAAAGCTCAGAAGATCAAACCTCTGGTCCCAGTGACCGATCCAGATTGGATCCTGCAGCATTATTCTGGGACATGTAGATTCGCCTTCATTCGTGAACTTCTCTCTCTCCAGAGTGTGTCTTTAGAGCCCTGGGGAGGAGCTCCAGCACAAGCCTGAAAGCTTGGAAGAATAACTCTTTGGTCCCAGTGACTGACTCAGTTTGAATCCTGCAGAAGGATCCAAAACCAACCAAGAGAAGCATTTTCAGGGTCTTGTTCCAGAGGCTTCAAAGCTATGGGGTTTTGGGAGCAAGATCTGCAGGCCTTTTAGGGGAGGGAACAGGAACTCCGTTGCAGGAGTCCCAGCAAGAGGGAGAAGAACGCCTCCTTCTCAAGCAGTGGCTGTTTGGCCTCCATCCTACCCCACCAATGCCAGAAAGAAGAACAAGAGCAACTGATGGTTCTCACGGCCAAATTGGCCCACATTGTTAGCCATTTCGGTCCTCAGTGAGAGCCAGTTTAGTCTAGTGGCTAAGGCACCAGACTGGAAAACATAAGATGAGTTCTAGTCTGGCCTTAGCCATGAAAGCTGGCTAGGTGATTTTGGGCAAGTCTCAGTCCAACTCACTTCACAGAGTGGCTTTGGTGGAAAAAATAGGAGGAAGATATGTTGGATTTGTTCATCATCTTGAGTTATTTGTAAAAATATTTGTACAAATACAATCAAGATACAAATAAATAAATAAATAAAATTCTCCTCCCATGTTATAGAAGTCAGGAAAACACCTTACATACTGATCATTCAGGCACCAAAATCCTCATCAGCAGTTTCTCTCCCCATTTTAACTGATCTGACACATGGATAGTGAGGCCACAAGGAAAGGCCTCATCCAGATAAATTTCTCCCCCTCACTATGCAAGGTGTAGTATACATTCTCACATTGAGAGGCAACCATTGTGCCCACAGTAAAAAATGACAATAAAGGTTATCTATCTATCTATCTATCTATCTATCTATCTATCTATCTATCTATCTATCTGACCCTGCGCGATTCCCCCCTCGCGCAGGTGTGGCCCAATTCAATTCCAAGGGCCTGCCTCAATGACGGGGTGTGGAGCCCCGAGAGGTGGTATGCAGCTAAAAGAGACCAAAAGAAGTTGAAACTGAGGGTCTTTTTAAAGGGGTGTTTTAGTAAATTTTTAAGGGGTTCGGGGTTTTTAGGGGGTTCGGGGTTGGCCCGAGGGGACTTGGGGGAGCCCTCTTTGAGGCCAAGGCCAGTCCAGTCTGGGGGGCGCGGAGTGGTAAGGGAGGAGACTGGGGGGTTAGTAGAGGGTGGTGTGATTAGTACGGTCAGTGGGAGGGGCAGATACGGCGGGAGCAGAGGACCATATCGGGTTTTGGGAGCACGCACACGCTGCTTACAAGCTTGTGGGTGCTCCGATCCTCAGGGCTCTACTCGGCTTCCAGGGACTTCAGATCCTCGGGCCCGGGATCACCGGCTGATGTTATGCAACGCCAGGTCCGTGGTAAATAAGGCCCCCCTCATTCAAGAGCTTATTCAAGAGGGGGGAGCGGAACTGGCAGGTATCACCGAGACCTGGCTGGGCATGGAAGGGGGAGTTCCCCTTGTTGATCTATGCCTGCCGGGTTTCCAGGCATTCCATCAGCCGAGGGCCCGGGGTAGGGGCGGTGGGGTAGCGGTCATTATAAGGGAGAGCCTATGTCCGAGGGAGACCACTGTGCCTCAGATAGACGGTGCAGAGTCCCTCCTTGTGA